GCCACGCCCCGCCACGCCCCGCCACGCCCCGCCACGCCCCGCCACGCCCCGCAGAGCACCGTCGCACCCTTCCACACATTTCCACGTCCACCCGAGCAGGTGCGGCACCGCTCCGGGGGGAGGTGTCGAGAGGAGGAGGAGCTTCGTGGAGAAGCGGACGGAGGCGGCGCCGTGTCCTTGCCCTACCGTTCGCGTCACAAAGGCGGGCGAATCACCCAATGATGCACCATGACGAACGAGGACCAGGTTGTTCCGTAATAAAACAAACGGTTCCGCGGGGATAATCGGCTGCCATCGGCCTGTACGTGAGATCCTAAACTGATTACCTTCGTTATGCTAAACGGTCTTCCTTGGGCGGCTCCTCCACCTTCCGACCCCTTCCCCCACTCCAACCCCCTTCATGACCCCCTTCGCCTATTCATTTTATTCAAGCCAGAAGGACGGACCCAGGACCCAGGCGGTGTTTCTTTCTGGAAAAGCTTAAACGGCGGGAAGGAGGGGCAATACAAACGACAGCGTCGACGCCGAGAAAGAGTTCCATACTGTCGAACGTCTCTGGTGGCGCCACACCCCTCCCTAGTATACCTGGGACCGTCCTACCGTCCTCCCCTCCCACACACGCCGTGACATTTAAAGCAACACAGTCGGGTATAGGATGGTCGATCTCCTATCGCGTATAGACAATAGCCCCCCACGCCCTCCCTCGCGTCGCTGACTTCAGGGCGCGGCGTTCCCCCCGTCATGCACTTCCTGCTTCCAGAAGCAGCGGGGAGCCCGTCGTGTAGGAGGATGTCACCTTGGCTCCGCGCGCCCTGCGGGCCCTGCCCCGCGGCCCCGCGGCCCTGCCCCAGTCACGGCCCTGATTAGGGCTCCCGATAAGGCCGGCCGGCCGGCCCGGGCGACGCCTTCCTGCCCGGCAGACAAGTGCTCTCGTCCTCCTCCTCCTCCACCTCGGCGTCGCGCTGTCCAGCACGAGGGGGCTGTCCCCCCTGGAGGCACGCGGGGCACGCGGCGGGGGAGTAGCGTGCGTGCGGAAGGGTGCGATGCCCCGCGTCGCCGCCGCGCGCCGGGTCGACGCACCGACGACCACCGCGTCATGAGACCAGGGAACAGTAATACAATATATACGCCCCGCGCACCAGAAAAGGGTGTCGCGGCATACGCGAGCTTGGGCGGATCCTGTTCGCGAGCGTCTTCCAACAGTCTTGCACGCCAACGCCACGCCACTCTATCCTCTCTGCTCGCAGTAATTACTGCTAACCGTCACCGGGTGGCGCCCCCCCCCCCGGCCCCCCATCGCATCGGCGAGCTATAGGAGGGCTCGGTCGCGCGGTCCGCGGCAAATACATAGATTATTTGCTTCGCGCGCGGTCTATTGCCCTACCCGCCGCCACCGCACCAACTTTGCTGCTCGGTGATTCGTCAGCCGGTTGCGCCCCGCGCCGCGCGCTTTGGCGCGCCCTGTGCCCCC